GCGGCAGCAGCCGTCTCAATCAGAAACATTGATGTGTCATTTCGGGTATTTGTTTCCTGTAATGCCGAGTTTCCGGAGAACCACGTCCCGCTTTCGCCACGACGCTGGGACCGGTGCTCATCTCAGCCAAGTAGAGGGTCCTCACATGGTGCATTTCGGCGCATACAGAAGACAACGATGCCCTGTGTCGATATTATTTTCGTGGTTGTATGCATACGAAGGTGGAGACGGCCACGTGTGGGCTGTAAGCCACGCGTCTGGAGCTCAGTGAAGACAAACTTGTTTGATGACAGTAAGGATCGTCCGGATACTATCCTAAAAACGTAAATAATATCGATGCTTATCGAAGAGTTGGTGCCGACTGGGCAGACATGTTATGTCTACTCTTTCGAGTGAGGCCAGTCCGTCGAGGCGCTGTGCCGGAGACTTTTCTTCCGTGTTCATGGAGTACTGTGGACCGTGGACATATTTTCGAGAATACAAGTAGAGTCGAGTTTTCTCCTGAGGTCCATGTGCACAATGCGGTTCCGGCTGATGGCTTAGACGATAGTATGGAACAAGCAACTGCGTCCGTGGAACGGCCATGTGCAGAAGTGAGGTGTCTGCCGCCACACCCCTGAAGCTTATCCCTTCACTTCCCCAAGCCTAAACCCAGACTACAACACGTGGGACTTTCCGAAGATTAGGGTACCTTCTTTTGGGGTCCTTTGAATAAGGATCTTACGATTTAGGGTACTATAATAGGGTCCCCTGCTTTCGGAAACCCCCAATACGAAGCCCCGCCTCCCTGGGTTCTGGCCTGGTTGCTTTCCTAGACATGGGAGGAGCGCCGTAGGCTGAAGTCGATGGAGGAAAGTCAGAGCCTCGGCTTTCGGGGTCCAGGGTCTAGGGTTTAGGGTTTAAGGTTTAGGGTTTAGAGTTTGGGGTTCAGGGTTTTGGGTTTAGGGTTCTTATGGACGTGCTTTATTGGGTCAAACAAGGGTTCATTGGCTTTGATGTAAAGGGGGCATAAGGATCCCCAAAGACATATTGCAAGGGTTCCATAAGGGGGAGAGGTTCGGGGTGTTCTGCTTTATCTGTAGAACCAAAATGAGGAAACTTGAGCCGGCACGATCCCTCGGATTCTTGCGTTGCGAAAAGCTAGGGTTTAGGGTTTAGGGGTGCAACAACATGGCCGTGTTGAACAGTCCCTTGGCTTGGCTAGCATGCCGAATGCGAGTCTAGCTTCTATCATATCTTCCGCTGTTATCACGTGAGGAGACACGCTTGTGCGGATTTTTTTTGCAAGGGTTCTGGCCATCAGGAACTACATGCAGGTGTCGAAGACGAAGCTTATCGTTATGCTTCTATGTTGCTCATACACATTGACATCACTCGTATTGCCAAGTCGGTTAGACATCTTCATGCAAGTCCTTTACGTTTTCCAGATCGTGTCTTCCAGCTTGGAAAGGCGTTCACATTCTCTGATGCTAGAAGGAAGCTCAATCCCCGAAACCTTAAACCCTAGCCCTGAAGCCCCAACCCTGAACCGTTAAAGCTTCGTTAAATCCTATGTGAAGGCATGGACCTCCTCTGGAAAGCCATTAGCATCCTTACCGTCGATTTCGGCCGGAAGCCCAGCGGAGCTGCAGCCAGGATCCATCACTGTGAAGCAGAGTTTTGGTAATCATCCTAGGCCCTGAGACCTCCGACTCTTGACCCCCTAACGCCACCTGAACCCCGAACCCCCTCCAAAGCCCTAAACCTGAAGCGCTGAGCCTATTGCGCGGTGCGAGGTTGGCGCCTGAATGAGATCTTCCTCTTCGGCTACGGCCAGGGAGGCAGCCATTTTGGGATATGTGTGTGTGGAACTGAGGGCGAGGTGTCACTAGACACAGATGCCTATGCCCCAAGTCAAAGCTGGACTGGCGAGTCGTGGTGCCGAAGAGAAGACGATGCAGGTAACAACGACTTTCCGGTTTGCAGAAGGAGGACCTCTAAACCCCTGCAGCCCCGAAGGGTCGGGGGAGAAGCATTGCAGGCTCGGTGGCTCTGGACATGCTCCTCAAGCCCAGTGCTAAGTGGGTAGTAGCTGTCAAGGCCGATGATCGAAGGATGCTGGTGAAGGTTATCCTGATGATGACTCACATGTGTATCACCCTGATGATGCGTATCATCCTAGCCAAAAGCAGCATTGATGCTGATGGGGATGGTGATGATGGGGATGTGATGGCGATGGTGAGTGCAAAAGAAGTGATGATCCTAAGAAGAAGCAGAGGCGATTCTTCTGCTGCTGCTGACGCTGCTGCTGCTCATGACGATGCTGGCGGTGGTGTTGCTGGTGCTGTTGCAGGCGACGGTACTGGTGCCGACGTTGGTACTGATGGTGCTGGTGCAGATGTCTTCAATGGTGGCCGTGGTACCGGTTGTCTCTTCCACGTGCTTGATGTTGCGGCTGTTTGGCCCGAGAAGGATTGGTGCCTGAGGCCACTACATCGCGAGGTGACTTCCGACCCTTTTCCGTACTAAGCCATGCGTGAGGCGATCTGCATCCACATCGGTCAGGCCCACTTCTTCTCCATTCGGGCTTTGGCATCGGAGATAGGCTCCCCGCGGCCCTACTTTTCTAGAACCCCTCAGGGTTTAGTGTCGCTCAGTTTTCGGGTGGGGCCAGGAGAAGATGCACAGGGTTCAGGTTATTATGCGCGGTCAGGGTCGCAATCAGCTGATGCCATGCGTGCAGCCGGCAGGGCGGCGTGCAGATCGGCAATGCTTGCTGGGAGCTCTTCTGCCTCGAGCACGGCATCCAGCCGGACGGCCAGATGCCATCCGACAAGACGATCCAGGGCCGCAGCGGGGGGAAGGGGGTATTTTGGGGATTCGCAGGCGATTTCCACACGTCCTTCCAGAGGGCTGTTATCGCGAGGTTGATTTAGAAGCCCTGCTGAACGAAATCTCAGGATTGGTGGAGGAGACGCCTCTTTGCCGCACTTGGAGGAAGAGACGGTGTCGCTGAACATAGGTGTGGCCTCCTCGTCATCAAACGGAGAAAGCGATTGCTGTTTGGTTGCGCTCTCACCACACACGTTCCGCGGTGACCATGAAATCTTTTCCACAGCTCCGCTCAACAATACTCAATCTAGTCTTGAAAGCCCCCTGTCCAGACCACCGTGCGCATACGGTTAGGCTATGTTCTTGCAAGCGTTTGGCTGGGTCAAGCAACACGTGTCGAAGATCACGCACAATTTGGAGCTAAGAGAACCAAAGTCGGGACACCCCGATCGGGGAATTCAATCATTCTGAAACTCAACCCACCCAAACCTCAATCGAAAGCTGTGGCAGTCTATGATCCTGGCTATGAGCTATGGAAGCACCACAGCAGGAAAGTAGAAGAAGGATCTTTTCTAGCCTGTCGTCGCTTCTTGCGTGTTGGGGACACCCTGAAAGCAGCGCCGCCACAACCACCACCGCCATTGCCTCAGCCACTGCCACCGGCACCGTCGCGGCCGCCGCCACCGCTAGCACCACCGCCACCACCCCACACCACCATCGCGGCTTTTCTTTGCTGTGCAAGGAGCTTTTTCCATGTATTTCCAACTTATGATTTCTGATTTGCCATGCTGCTTCTTTGCTTGGGTGAGTTGTTAGCAAGCACGAGGGGTCAATCGATCAAACGTGTCCAACACTGGCCCAGAAGGCTCACTTGAAACATGTCATCTGCGTTCAGGCACACTTGCTTAGCACTCCAGATGCTCTCTGAAGCCGTAAGGATGCATTTAATACCTTTTTCAGCGAGACCGGGGCGGGCAAGCACGTGCCACGCTGCGTGATGGTTACTTGGCCATGACTTTTTCAGAATGTTTGCGTTTCAGGCGTGAGCCCTGCCGCATCTACACATGTCATACGTGGAGTCAGTGTATCAACCACGCATTCAATATCAGTGAGTGGCAGGTGGATTTGGAGCCTACGGTCGTGGATGAGGTCCGTACAGGCACGTATCGCCAGCTTTTCCATCCGGAGCAGCTCATCTCCGGAAAGGAGGTTGCTCAGTTCTCCATTCAGCGGTTTGCACTGTTTCGAAGAGGCCAGAGTTCTTTGGTTACCATGTGATGTGACGAAGAACCATGGACAAAGGATGCTGCAAATAATTTCGCTCGTGGACATTACACCATCGGGAAAGAGATCGTGGACCTGGTGTTGGACCGCATCAGGAAGCTTGCTGACAACTGCGACCTGCTTGCAAGCTCAGCTTCTTTTGTGCGTCTGTTTGTCCCGTAAATCCGAATCGTTTTGGACGATTTCGCCATCCGAGGCACAGGACTCCAAGGCTTCTGCGTCTACAACGCATGCGGCGGCGGAACAGGATCCGGCCTTGGCTGCCTCATGCTGGAGAGGCCGTCGGGGGCTGTGCCGACAGGGGGTTGATTCCATTTTTTTTCAGTTGTAAAGTTTCGGGCCCAAGCAAAGGGGTATGCGGAAGATCTTGTCTGCTCGCAAGGCTGTCCGTGGATTATGGCAAGAAGAGCAAGATCTCCTTCACCGTGTGGTGCTGCCCTCAGGTGGCTACTGCCGTCGTCGAGCCGTACAACACAGTCCTGTGCGTGCATTCTCTCCTGGAGCACACCGATGTGACCATCATGCGCCTCGGATGATCTTTGCAACGACATTTATTCATGCTCTGTTTGTGTGCAGCCCAAACGACGATGCCAGCCAGACCCAGCCGAGGTACGACAACGAGGCTTTGTATGATATTTGCCGCAGGCAGCTTGCTTCATGTTGGATAGGTCGGATAGGTTGCGTTTCAGATTTTGCCAACTCGGTGGCACTCGGTGGTTTCGACGCCAGGTGACTCGCAGACAGTCATACTCTGAACTTTGCCGCATGCTGCTCCATAAGGAACCTGGACATCGAGCGACCCACGTACACCAACCTGAACCGCCTCATCGCTCAGATCATTTCAAGCTTGACCGCATCGCTGCGCTTCGATGGCGCCTTGAACGTGGACATCACGGAGTTCCAGACGAACCTGGT